AAGTAGCACAACATAAAAACGATAAATAAATAATATTTCCAGTAAAACCTATACACACCTATTTCTTCTAATGTTTTCCAGATGGTATTGACTAGATTGGTTCTATCTTGCGGTAGCTCCTCTGGCAGAAATTCTCCACAGCAACGAATTAGCATCAGTGCCTGGGTGCCAGTCACAGAGCCTAATAATAGAGAGCAAACGTGACCAATCGGAATTATATTGTAGTCGGGAAATCTGCCTGCTTACAATATAAAAATGATATAACACATTTTAACAACATAAATTTTATATTTAAATTTAGCTAGTATACCAGTGCAACCTTGAATAATGAATCCTACAACTGGTATGTGAGATACACATAAGTGCAGATTGATGCGCACACAAACACAGCCAGACTCGCACACATACGCGCACACAGGCAGGCACGCACACATCCACGCATGTGCACAGGCATGCACGCACACACGCAGGCATGCAGCTACGCACGTACGCACGCACGCAGACACCCCTATGCACGCACGCAGACACCCCTATGCACGTACACACACACACACACATACACAAACACGTGACCTTTCAAAATAAACAACTAGTATATATACCCGGGGAAAAAACATTCGATTTACCTAGCCGCTTAACCTCATTCAGTATTTCTAAGACATCTACTTTGGCAATCCTTCCAGTGCGCTTCACATTCAGGTCAAGCCGATATAATGCCTTGTCCAGTGACAGACCAGTTAGCTTGCTCCGGCCCGACTGACCAGTGGGCGTTGCCTTTGCCTCATTCAGAGCATTCTGTGTTGAAAGGCAGCTGCGAATATATATATGTACATTAATATGTAGTCCCAGGTATACGTCTATGGGCTCTATGCTATAATCAGAGTTATGCCTCAATGCTGTTTTTATCTTTTATTAAGTAATTACTTTAAACATGCAGTCTTCCTGGCCGTTCTCATGTTTTTCTGACCACTACACTACTTATTTTTTTGCATAACAGCAAGTGTCTAAAGTATAACAAACATTTCTTACAACACTCGTACATCGTTATTTTCACAAAAATATACGATTGAAATCTGATTGTTTACACCATGTTGACGTGGTTACATGATGATACCACTTGTTTCTATACTGGAGTACCAATCACTAAAATGTCCGCTATTAGGTGAGACAATGTTTCACTATATTCTTCTTGATTGTGCAGTTACTTATGAAATAATTTCTTTATGATTATCATTGTACATTGTCATTGTAGCTGACATATCTATATGTATATCTATTGTCCATTCACCATTGACTATTAGTATTATTAGTATTATTGCCAATATTGGGTGATGGAATAGCTTCAGATTATAAAAATTTACAAAGAACAAATTGGGGCTAAGACTAAGACTAAGAGTAAGAGTTGTAATGTAAGACACTGCACATGAACTGCACTTCACAAGTTGTGAAGTACAATCCATGTCGTCAGCTGAGTGAGTCTGTGACTGCGTACTGTACTGAGTGATAGTGTAAGTGACAGTGTCACTGTCAGTGTCAGTGTCAGTGACACTCCGAGTCTCTGTCTCTGACAGTCTTGCACCTGACAACTTGTAGTAGTACCTTGTATTTTTTAAAAGATTATTTGAATTTCCTGATGCTGGGGCCAATATTCTAGCAGTATTCCCAATAACAGCGAAATTATGATGGATACTCCTCTGAAGAGCCGGTAAAACACGTATAATTCCTGCCGTTCTCAGCATCGACGAGGCCATGTTGCACGTGAAGGTTTCGCTGGGTCAATTCCGCACTGCGCAGCTGCGGAAGTACCCTCTGAGGTCACTTCCGCCGTCATCAAGCAGAGGAATCTCGTGTCTCAAATCTCGTGGTACTAACTAAAAACAGGTGATCGTTTGGCTTGATATTAGGATATAAATTGTTCGGTTCTCGCATTTTTTGCTGCCCGACGGGCCATATCATCGGCATATGTCTATGATAATTTTGAAATCTTTCGGTGTATCAATTGCTTGACGTTGAATATGTGGGGAATTTTTGACGTGGCACTGCCAGCTAGCCGCTAGGGCCACAGGCCCAGCCTGGCACAGCCACGGCACAGGTACTTGAAGCGTTTCAATAGAATATAATGCTAACTAAATACGAAATCTATTTACTACCAAATTCTTAATGTTTCTATACTCTCTTTCACCTATTATTGCCGACAGTTTCCTGTAAATTCCGTCCAAATCCTATGTGCAACAAACACTGAAGCAAACAAGAACAGTGTTCACTAATCACTTGTTATAAAAACATACTGTCTCTGTTCGTAACCGAGCTGTGTCACGCGAAATCACACAAAGACTGACGAAATTCTCGCGTTTGCGAACCTTGCCCGGTAATATAAATGACTGTCAGAATCAGGAAACACCTACCGGCGCTCTTCGTGACCTCATTGTTCGCCGCAACGCTGAAACGTTTTTGCAACGTTCCAATGGCGAGGCTCGTATGGGAGTTGGAAAGAAGTGCGCCGCCTGCCCGCCGCCTATAGCTCATAGACTGGCACTCGCTCCCACCTCTCGGCTTAGCTTAGGCCGATGAAAGTTGATTTCATGGTTCTCGTCAGGCATTGTTGAGATATTGACGAGTGATTTAGATCAACATTCATTTTTCATATACAAACCAATAGAACTTTTTAAAAGTGAGGGTATCAGGTCTTGTACATATGCAAAATAAGATTGAAAAATGTCGTAACTTCTTTGTTGACAGTTTTTACTCAAATTTTTTACTGTTTGTCTTCCATACATGTAGTGCTGACTGTAGATTGTTGATTTTTTTAGGCGAGAATCTCATATGGGGACTTTTTGATGCGGGAATTTCGTCAGCGATGAGTGTTGAACTTTTTTGGTGCGGGAGTAAAATTTGATGCGGGCGCTGACGAGAACCATGACATCAACTTTCATCGGCCTTATAGTCACTCGATGGGTAATCAAGGTTGGAGC